TTCAATAATTTATTTTTCAATTCCCCACTACCCTCACTACCACCGACAAGTTGAAACTTTTTTATCAACATTTATTCAAGAATTTTATTTAAATTAAAAACTACCCTCACTTCCACTGATTTTTCAAAATCTTAATTTCAACATTTATTATTTTTTTTCATTTTCAAACTACAGTCACTTCCAAGACAAAAACTTAAGCAAGTCTTAAAGAAAAAAAAGAGGCAATTTAAAGATTTTTAAAGTTGAATTTCTTGCTAAATATATTTTTTTATCATGATTTTACAAAAAAAAATCTTATAGTTTTACAAGAAAAGTATCTGCTTACTACCATACATACCTATGTTAATAAAAAATTCACCTATTTTTCAGCAAAAAAAGGCATTTTATACGTTCACAATATAGGGACCCCCCCCCCCAGACTATTTTGTGAAAAGGAGACGTTAGTCTGAGTAGGGTTAACAAACTTGAAATACTTTATTTAAAGACAAAGCAAATGTAAAGACAAACAGATTCCCATTAATATTATTGATACAAATATGATTCAAATTAGGAAAGAGTATATGCTCATTTCTCAGTATTTGTAGCTTTTATGTAACCGAAAAAAACGGGTTTAATGGTTTAATTAACTTAGGAATAATATTTTTAATTTCAAGCTTTGTTGCGGACCATGTACATGGATAAACCATTTATTACATGAATACCCACAAACTCAAATCCTGCAAATATAAAGTGACAGCTTCCCTTTAAGAAATTAACTAAATTTTCCTATTCAAACTTTTGCTAAATTATTTGGCAAAAAATTGCAAATGATGTGGAAACCAGAAAGTTAAGTCGCTTGCACAAATAATTGCATTTAATCAGTTCAAACCACTTTGTTACAAGTGCAGTTAAAAATGTGTTTTATAATTTTAGTCACAGATACTAAATTGCATTTTAGCAATTAAGTCTTGCATTTTTAAATGTATAAAGAGGACTATTCACATATTTGGGTAGCGTATGAGGTACCAATCCACAGAAAATTATTAAACACAGTTCCTGTTTCATGTTTATGTCGTTTTACATGTTTCAAATTATTTTCTTTTGAATAATACGACTTTTCAAACATAGATATCCCAGAAAAAGCTGATGTATGACAATTTCGAGGATTTTATTGGTCATCATTGAACCCAATTTTTCTTCCAGAAAGCGGCTTTACTATTTCTATTTTTACCAATTATTAAATTTTATGAATGTATTTTTCAGGTCCCTCTTCCCAAAGCAGCGTTCCCGAGGCATTTGCAGGTGTCCTTAGTGTAGTGCAAGGGGTTCAAGGAGTACACGGAGTACAACTTGTTAATAATACAGTGACACAGGGTGTAAGTACATTGCATAGTACAACTACAACACACCAGACTGGGTCTTCAAAACCCGCATTTCAAATTCCTACCAGCCACAACCTTCAAGGTTTAACAAGTGGAAATAAGATTTTAACAAGTGGAAATCAGATTTTAACAAGTGGAAATCAGATTTTAACAAGTGGAAATCAGATTTTAACAAGTGGAAATCAAGTGTTTACAAGTATTACCCCGGTGACTCAGGTCGGAAATGGCGGGAAAAACTTGTTACCTGTCAGTTTAGTGTCTAGCGTAAACATCACTAGATTATTGGACACAGTTGGACCCCCAGGCACAAAAATTGGACCCCTAGGCACAACTATTGGAATTGCAGGAACAAATAGCAGATTTGTTGGGACTGGAGGGAGTACAGGTTTAACCACTGTGTACACAACCCTTCCACTTTACCCGCATTTACTCCAGCCTGTTCAAGGAGTACATGGGGTACAGGACAAGTGTACAGTTCTAGGGGTTCAGGGAGTACATGGAGTACAAGAGAAGCAAGCTGAAAACTATGCGATAGTTGACCTGTCCTCTAGAAAAGCGAGAGATGATCCAGGTTCAGCTTTCACCAGGTAATGTTTTTTGATTTTTCTAATATAATTTTTTAACCCTGAATAATAGAAAAACATCAAAACACTCTCTTTTTAATAACTTCTAACATTCCTTGTTACTAATTTCGAAATCCAATTTTTAACTTGGAATTGCTGAAATTTTCAATGTTTATTGTTTTTATTTTGCGTTTATTGAGAGTTAAAATTTTTTCTTGTTGTCTGCTAACGAGTATTTGTTTTTCAAGCTCTTGCATACTTATTAATTTAAAATGATTAAAGTTATTAAATGTAAATAATTAGAGTTTTTACTTAAATTCTCATGTTTTTTGGTTACCCAGCACACTCACAGAGTATACTTAAATTTTAGAATTGTAAAAATTTAATCTAAAATAAACTGTTCAGGCCTTGTATTCAAGCTAGATCTGAGAAACAGGAGCTACCCTACAACCTTGCTATTTCCAGACCTGATCAGTTTAATCAACCTGTTCCCACTACACACTACTATCCTGCTCCTGCTTCGACTGTTTCACCTGCTTCGAGCAAAGGTTCCCCATATGGATCTTCCAACTCTGCTGCTTCTTATGGAGCTGTTTCTAGTTCAACCCTAGCTGCTAAAAGATCCTATAGTTCTCCTGCTCCTCCTGCTTCCTTAACCCCCAGATCCTATAACTCTCCTGCGTCTCTTCACTACGCTTCTCCTGTTCATGGAAGCAGGAGTTTTGCCTCTCCAGTGAGTCGAATGTATACATCTCCTGCTTCAGTTCCTAAACTGTACACATCACCATCTCCTGGAATCTCAAGAGCATATTTGTCTCCTGTAAAACCGGTTTCTAGGTAGAGTCCATTTTTAAATATTTAGGATTACTATATTGAGAACCGTGAAAAAGAAAGACGACATTATAGCAATATTTAAAGTGTAACTAAATGGTAATGTGCACCCTGCAAACTATTTGTCTCTCAAACATTATACTATTTAACATGAAAACTTGAACCTAATCGTCGTCTTACTTCTCACTGTAGGTATTTCTCAGGAGATTCCATACAAATCTGAGGACTTATTAATTGCATTCCCTATACGTTTGTTTTTATTGCACTTTGCTAAAATTTGACTCTGGCAGAAGACATAATGCACAATTTTCGAGGCAACTCACATAGCGTTACCCCCGGGGAAGACTTATGTATGCAAAGAATTTTTAAAATATTTTTCCCTAAAAAATTCTTTTTCGTAAATTTTTTTAAACTCTCAAAAAAATATGAATAAATCCGCGAAATATTTTTGTTATTGTGTTATATAAATAAAATATTTTGTTATTGTTATATAAATAAAATATTTTGTTATTGTTATATAAATTATATATAAATAAAATATTTTGTTATTGTTATATAAATTATATATAAATAAAATTTTCGAAGAGAAATAAGCTCACAGATAAAGCAAAAATTTAAAGTTCAAATAAAAATCTTGAATATTAAAAAAAATGGAAAAAACTATTTCATAAAGTTTGTAAAGCCTCCTTTTCAGGTCCTACCAATCCTCCCCAGCATCAAGTAAAGGTGTATCTCCTAAAACATCTCTTCAAATAACTCCTTCTAAGGTTGGTCAATTTATTTGAGGTTTTGTTCCTTTTTTTCCTTTTTGAAAAACTTTTTTGTGTGTGACTTTTTTATCAGAAACAACCTGACCTCTTACATGTTGACTTGAAAAAATATTTTTTTAAGCTGACAAGATATACTGTGGTAATATTCTACTGAAGACTAATTTCCTACAAAAAATAAATTTTTTACTGAAAATTAATTTTCTACTTAATGAGTATTCAACTAAAGAAAGCATTTTGAAATCATAATAATTTTGACTGTCCAAAATTATGAACATTATTTTTATCTAAATTTTTTTAAGTTCACTTTTTCCATACCGGATACATTTTTGTTCTCCTGAAGGTAGATTAGCTTCGTTGTCACAGGAATATCTAGAATATGGATCAGAAAAAAGGACACTTTGGAGGCTCGGTTACTTAAAACTGTTTTAATAGACATTGCAAAAACCAATCAGAATCCTGAAACATGACCCAGAGCGCATTTAAAAACAATTTTGTGAATTTTAAAGATGATTTTATGGGTTTAAGAAGGAATAAATGTAAATTTGAAGGATTATGACATGTCCGGGCAGGAAAAGACCATCAAGAGTCAAGACCCCAAAAATGGTCGAAAATATTTTATATTGTTGAAACCATATTAGCAAGGGTTCAAGAAATATGTTTCCATGAAAGCTTGATATTCTTTTACATTGTAAAAAAAGTCGTAAAGCAAGATTTAAAATATCTGGGTTAAAGGAATTAAGTTTTTGCCACCATCTCTGATTTCCTAATCTCTATATCTTTGCAATTTTATGTCGATGACCTTTGATATTGCAAATTATGAATTCTATAAGGGTTGGAAAGATATTTAAGATTGTGGCTCAGTCCTTTGGGCCTTTGGACAAAAGGGATGACATGGATTATAGATCTCCGATGTAAATCAAAGACAGATAAATCCTCGTAAGTCCGATTCACCGACAAAAGGTCAAACGACACAGGGTCAAACGACAAAGGGTCAAACGACAAAAGGTCAAACGACAAAGGGTCAAACGACAAAGGGTCAAACGACAAAGGGTCAAAAGTGCGACAAAGGGTCAAACGACAAAAGGTCAAAATGATAAATATATTTTTTGATTCGAATCATAGGAGCTCGCAACCCTCCTATCAATTTTGTACATGGATCTTATATGTTAGACATGGATATAATTGACCATGTGGCCGCAGCGCTCGATACTAAGATTGGAAGGATTTACAGAACAATCATTTGCAATACAAAATAAATTTCTGCCAAGAACTGTGTTGAGGTCATTTTTACATAAATTAGAAAGAAATCTAATGCACAGCTTAGAACTTGCTTCAATAGTCTCATAGAAAGACACACATCTGCTAGCTAACATAGTTTTTACATATGATTAGATATTTATATAAATATGTTTATAGAGCAAATGACGTGTTTAATCATAGAGCAAATGTTGAGTAGAGCAATTGGACCATCACAGTCATAAAAATGTTTATTGAGCAATTGACGTGTTATGTCATAGATCAATTGACGTATAGAGCAGATGACATATAGAGCAAACGTCGTGATCTATGAGCTATAGAGCAAATGGTTAATAGAGCAAATGGCCCTAGAGCAAATGACCATAGAGCAAATGGAAATAGAGCAGATGTCGTAGCGCCCCAGTGTCGTTTGACCCTTTGTCGTTTGACCCTGTGTCGTTTGACCCTGTGTCGTTTGACCCTTTGTCGGTCCTTCATACATTCAATACTCAATCTCTCTTTATTTTGATCGCTCTTTGAGACTCTAATGGATAAATTAAGTTTGAAACCATTCTGAAACTTATTTTGCTGTGACAAACGAAGCTGATTACTTTCTGGAGAACGCTCCTTACATTACGACAAAGATTTGACACAAATATTCAGTTATTTGCATGAAACCATTGAAGATCCCGTCTTTCACGTGTTCTACTATACATTCAACGACGACATATCTATCATCAATTTTATAAAATATGAAATATTATGATGAATTTGTAATGAATGAAAACATAACACTTGTGTTCAGTTCAGGTCGTTGTTGTTCAATAAACAATTTTATTCATAGTTTACATGGAAAATTTAAACAGGAAAATTGTATCATGCAATAAAATATTTATCTTATTAAAAATATTAAATTAATATTGTTTTCGCTGAATTTTCGGGTAAAAATTTTAGTTATTTAACTTTTATTTCAAAAACAGCTTTTAAAGGAAAACATGGTTTTGTATTTAAGTAAAAAATATTAATGTTAACATTATTAAAATTTTGTTTTAGAAAAAGATGCTGTTGCGAAAAATTATGATGATTATAAAAATTTAAATTTGTAACTGTAAATGACTCTAAGTGACAATATTTTTTTTCGAATAAAAATAAGTTTGAAAAACCATTCATCACTTCAAGTATCATAAAAAAACTTCTAATCACCTGAAGTGACTTTAAATAGATAATTTAAATTTTTTTTATGATTTTGAATATTTTACAATAACCTTAAATAACATTGAATAAACTTACTAAAAATGACTTGAATTTAAAGGGACTGTAAAGGAAAAATGAAAGGGGGTATAGGCTGAAACCGGAGAATCTATGCATATCTGATGTTGCTATCTCGAGAAATTGATATAAAACGGTGTCAAAATTATACCAAAACGTATATATGTAAGATTTTGTATAAGATTTGTAGTATTAAACAGATCATATTCAACAAATATGCCACCAATCTGAAAACAACGAAATCCCAGAGGAGCCTGAGAAATTCAAGTTTGCTTCTGTTATTATTTGAATTTAATAATTTTTCATTTTTAATAGATATAATTGTTAATATTATTTATGTGTCCGGAACATGTTACCAGAACTCCAACTAATGGCAGTGCAGTATTATTGTCACGTGTCTCCGTCTATATCACGTGGAACAGTATACTGCACTGCCATTGGAGGGAGTTCTGGTCACGTGGTGCGGACGTATATCTTGTATGCATCGTTCAACGCCTGAGATTCTCAGGTTTCATCCTATACCCCCTTTCATTTTTCCTTTACAGTCCCTTTAAACGACTTTAAATGACTTGATTTTAAAGGACTTCAAATTAATTTCCAATGATTTTATGAATACTATTTTTTAGATGAATCTGTCAGGGTCTAAGGTTTCTTCAGATGAAGGTCATGAAGCAGCAGGTATTTTTTTCTAATTTTAGATAAAATATTTCAAATTAAATTTTTACTGTTTTTTTTACAACCATATTAAAAAAAGATTTTTTTTCATTCTCAAAAAGTGTTCCTCATTTGTTTTCATTTTGCACAATTATTTTTCAGGCTCCAGCAAATACAAAGGAAAGACGACTTTCACTAGGTAAGGCTAATTTATAAACAAAAACTATATGAGTAAGCGGGAAAGTATTTTAAAAAGGTATTAGAAGGGAGCAAAGTTCTACCAGCAGTTCTGATTTTTTCCTCAAATGTGTACATTATTATGATTATATTGTCTAAAGGTTCTGCTGAATAAATACTAAAACATGAATTTTATAAATTTGGTTATTAGATTTTCCGTGGTATTTATTAATTAATTAATCAATTAATTAAATAATCAAATCAAATAATTAAATAATTAATTCTTTTCAGGTTTTACAGTGAACCTATTGCAGCAACAATAAAAACGGAATCATTTGAATCAGGGACCACCTCTGCCCCTGTTTACCCGGTCCAGGGACCTAGTGTTGGCTACTTTATGGACCGGGGTAATATTGTAGCTGTAACCAATCCGGACTATAATGTTGAAAAGACCGAGATAGTCAGGTAAAACTAGAATAAAACGAAAAACACGTTTCTAAACTAATTAAAACAGAAGATTGAAATCTCAAATGTTTTTAATCATTACTTATTTTGTTAAAGAGTTATTGAGAAGAACAAAAATGTTTAGAGTTTCTAAAAATTGACCAGAGCTGGGTACTTTAATGGCATAACTTTAATCCCGACTGCTTAATCCGAATATCCAATGTGGACACTTTTATTATTTTGCTTTATCCACTCTTTTTTGGATAAAGTTTAGAAAAATCGATAACCGGTTTTTCAAAATTAGAGAATCCCTCCTGTTTCTGTATATTAATCCTAAATGGCGCGAAAAATTTCAAGGAATTGAATTCTTGAAGCAAATTCTGATTTTTTAATTCTAATATCTTTCCAACATGATGTTGTAGACTTCTGATATTTCAAACTATAAATTTGGTTATTTCAAAGAATCTAAGTTTGAAATATCAAAGGTTTACACTGGCAGGTTGCAAGGATATAAGTTTTAGAAAAATAGAGCTCGTGACAAAAACTCAGTTCCTTTCCCGGCTTCTGATACCCGACTGTGATTGGTTGAATTTTGTTAATTTTTCAGGATTCAAGTAAAAGATTAGGTTAGTCTCGAGATTAAGAAAAAGAGAGAATCAAGCATTAATCTCGATAACCCCCATTCTAAAGTTTCCAGCTCTGATAAATTTAATTTTTTCAAAACTACAAAAGTCAATCCAATCAACTTAAAATTTTGAAACCAGGCTATCACCATTTTGGTGGTTCTACCAAGTTACTCAATCAGAATTTGAGGCAACGGTTGTTAGGGGTTTCGGAGTTTTCAGTATTAATCCTTCATACATAGAATAGTTTGGAAATTTACTAAACTTGTAATCTCAAAACAAAGCTAAGAACATTCCGAGTTGCCCAATCAAAATTTGAGGCAAATCAGTCAAGGGTTTCCAAGTTATTATCGGACAGCCAAACAGACAAATAGACATAGAGATTAAAACTTTTTATAAATATATATAATAGTTTGGGAATCCAGCTTTGCTTGGAAGCTCAACTTTCTCCATAAAAGCCAATATTCCCCCTTGGTTCCCTAATCAAAATCGATCAAAGAGATCAAGGGGATCAAGGGGATCAAAGGGATCAAAGGGATTGAATGTAAAAAATAAATATTTTATGTCTAAATCATATTTTAAGTAGAGTAGTTAAAGTTTGAAACTAAAAGTAGTATAGTTTAAAATCTTCATCAAAATTTTGGATCTAATTTGATTTTTTAAACATTTAGTTTTTCTAATTTCAATATCGTTGCAGCCCAATGTCGTAGACCTTTAATATTTCAAACTATGAATGATATTAGATCAAATAATGTAAGTTTGAAATATCAAAGGTTTACATCATAAGGCTGCAAAGATATAGGTTTTACAAAAACTGAATTTGTGGCAAAGACTCAATTCCTTTGTTTTTTTAAACATTTAGTTTTCTGACTAATCTGGAAAGTTTTTCTGAAAAATAACTTTTGCACTTTATAATGTAGTAAACTATGACAGAAATTTTGACTATGATAAATGTCAGATATCTGAATAAAATGCCAAAAAAAACTCGATTATAAAGTTTTTAAATTTTTTTCTTCAGTTCGGGAAAGCAGCCTGACGGGAGCCAGGGATTAAATTTAACTGTAAAGCGGGAGATAAAATCTATTATTGACCTGAAGGCATGGATTGGACACAGAGTGCTTGGTAAGCTTAATATTAACCAATTATTATCTTCATTTTTTTCAATTTTTATTAGCATTTATGTTATTTGTATTTATTTGTTGATGTTATTCCTATGATTTTATTGTTATTTTGCTATTTGTGTTGTTATTATTATTGTTTTTATAATAATTGTAATTATCATTCGTATTATCATTATTATAATCATTATTGTTATAATTATTATTACTCTTCTCATTAATTTACTTTTATTATGATCAATATTATTATTATGTTTATTTTTTATTATCATTATCATTATCATTATTATTTTTATTATCATCATTTTTTTATTATAATTATTTTATAGTTATTTTAATTACTTTTATAATTTGTATCATTATTATTATTTTTATTATTATCATTATTATTTTATTATTATTATGATTATTATTGTTATTATTATCACTGTAATCATATATATTAAGGTCGGATAGGAAGTGAGTACTACCCTGGTAGGATTGTAAGTGTACTGTCTGGTGTTGATGTTTCTGTACAATTTGATCATAGTGGAGAGAGGATAGTGTACAGTAACCTACTCTACCCTTCAAATAATCCAAATATCATTAGTGATGCTATACCTTTAACAGCACAGGTACAGACAACCTATCCATCAATAAATTAATTATCAATCAAATTTCTCAAAACATTAAAAAATCGAAAAATAATAATTCGACTCTATTATAAATTTTATTATATCAAATTGTGGCCAACAAATCTTACAAAATTTAGAGTAAGCATGTTGTACTTTAATAAAAATATTTTAGGTTTCAATCGGATCAAAGTTGTGTGTTCGGCAGCGGGTTCAGGTTCAAGTCCAAGGTCAAGGCCAAGGTCAAGGTCAAGGTCAAGGTCAAGGTCAAGGTCTAGGTCTAGGTCTAGGTCTAGGTCTAGGTCAACTCATATGTTAAGAACTGTAGTTGAAAAAGTTAAAGTCCAAGTATAACGAATTAAGTTTTCCGGAATAATGGAACTGCAGATTATATGCTAAAGTTTTCTTTTATTTTTTATTTAAGCCCCTGTTATAACTTTTGTGTATATTTATTGAGCATTTTGTAGAATTTTTATATCGAAACTTGTAAAATTCTGAATTGTTTCTGTAACAGTTCGGAGTAATCCCTATAGAATATAAATCTTGTCAAAAATGTTAAAAGATGAAAATTCTCGGATTATTTTATGAATATATAATTATACTAAGAATGTTATCTGAATCTTGTTCACGAAGATTAGTCTAGAATCTGAAATCTAGAAAGTTTTCTGAATCAGGATTATATATATTTTCTAAAAATCCTATTTCTGCCAATTTCTATCATTGTTAAAGGAACTGTTGACATAATTTCAAGTGACCCTTTATTCAATTAAGAAAGGTTCCCTTTAATTTCCCTAAAATTACCCAAATAAGTGAACGGACCCTTTAATTCTGTGTCTCAGCAAAAATGATGAGGATATTGTAGTTTTTCTATCTTAAATTGTTTGAGTCCTTAGTCGACGTCCAAAATCATGAATATGGGTGGATACGTTTTCAGAATCGGTTTTTTTAAAATCATTAAATAACGACGAAGAAAAATAAAGTAAAAATTAGACAGTAGGCTCATTAGATGTTTAGGAAAATATTTCTCAAAAGAAATTCGTCAATAAATCAAAGCTAGAATCAATTATTTCGTTTTCATCATCATATTGAATTTCTTATTTTCTATGAATTTGTTCGCAGATTTTTTACAAATTCTTCAGATGTCGTCTTTTCAATAAAAACTCCCTAAAATCGGCAGAAAATCTTTGTGAATAATTGAGAGATTATTTAAACTAATAATTGAATAAGATTACTTATTTCGATGATAAGATTAATTTTTATTTTCTCAACCTGTTCCTAAACAACTAATTAGTTTACTGTAGAATTTTGTTTACATTTTTCGTCGTCGTTATTAAATAATTTTAAAAAAAAATTCTGAAAACGGTCCGGTTCGAATTTAAATCGACCCTAGGCTACCGTGAAAGCGCGTTTAAAACAGAGTTTAATGAGGTTTTAAACCCTGTTAAGGTGAGGTTGGCAAGGAGATGTATATATGTACCCGTGGAAGACTCCAGGTTGTGGATACAGACGGCAAAACCGTCTTAGCCACTCTTAAGGCCGGTTCGTACTTCGGAGAGATTTCTATACTCAATATAGGAACAGCAGGTTAGATTTCTATACTCAATATAGGAACAGCAGGTTAGATTTCTATACTCAATATAGGAACAGCAGGTTAGATTTCTATACTCAATAAAGGAACAGCAGGTTAGATTTTGAAACTAGTTTTTCGAATATTCGACAGAGATTTACATCAAATAGAAACATTAGACCACACCCCTTTTAAAATTAAGAGCTTTAAGAGTCAAAATATTTTCGAGTATTTTTAAGTATTAAAATGGCTAAAAACCCAAATCCCGTTTTAGGCTACCCTTTATGTACAGATAGTTGAATTATTAATGCACCCCCGATTCCAGGCCACAACTGAAGTGTGGCTTAAATATCCCTAACTTTTGCTGTTCATCTACTGTACATTTTTCAATCAAATATTTTGGCAAAATCACAGATTTTAAGAAAGTTCTTGTGGTAAAATCATTAAGAAATATTTTATTTATCTTCTAAAACTTTTTTCTGGTTTTGAACAAAAAAAATGTTTATATCACATCATATGGTTAGTTAATGAGTGCACTAGTCAATTTTCTTAAGGACTACATATAATACATTTATACATAACATAATTATATTATAATATAATATTATATAATATAATTAATATCTACATTTTACAATATATCTAGACTAAATGTTTACAACTATATTTGTAGAGTAGAGTAGAGTAGAGTAGAGTAGAGTAGAGTAGAGTAGAGTAGAGTAGAGTAGAGTAGAGTAGAGTAGAGTAGAGTAGAGTAGAGTAGAGTAGAGTAGAGTAGAGTAGAGTAGAGTAGAGTAGAATAGAGTAGAGTAGGATAGAGTAGAGTAGAGTAGAGTAGAATAGAGTAGAATAAAGTGGGTCAAGTTCATATTTTCTCAAACCAATTTATTCCTACGAATTCTCAAGGTTTTCATATTTCTATTTTAAGCCCTTAAGAGTAACTATAGCCAGCTCTATTCCAAACCTTAAGAAAGGGAAGGCAAAGGAATGGAAGAGAGAAATTACTATATTATTAAATTAAAGTGAAATGGTTCTGTATACATTTCACACTAGCCGTATTTAGAATCATAACTTGAGTTTAACGATCGTCTTGCTATTCCAGAGTTGTATGGGCCCCTCAGAAGCTAACTTTTTAAAATTCGATTTAAAACAAAAAATTTACATATTCATAATTATAATTATAATTTCTAATCCCTTATTCTTTTTAACCTGGTTGTGTAAAATTTGATGTTTCAAATTTAGGTATTTGGATCTGGATTCAATTCTTTTTCGCCCAAAATCTCATATTCCTTTATAATTTTAGAAAGGATATAAACATATCCTTCTAATGAGTATAGAAAGCCTAATAATATTTCCCCCAGTATGTGCACCGTGTTTATAGTTCTTATATCACAGTTATTTTTCTCTTTAAACCAACCAGGTGACATATTTTGGAAATATTTTCATTTTCAAACAATTTTCTCTCATAGTTTACAAAATAAACTTGCTTCCAAGAAAATAAAACTTCCCTGGTTTTCTTGCCGACAGATTTTTATATATTTTTTATATAGAATATCTAGGCCAAAAGGCGTAAAATAAAATGATTTGATAATAATTAGAATAATTCTAGAATCTCTAGAACTTTAGAAACCATATAGAATTCTAGAATTTAGTTTAAAGTGGTCTATAGAATTCTAGAATTTAGAATATCTAGAATCTCTAGAAGATCTATAATACTAGAATCTCTTGGAGATATAGAATTCTAGAATTTGAGACATAGAACTCTTGAATCTCATGGAGATATAGAATTTTAGAATTTGAGATATATAATTCTAGAATCTCTTTAAGATATATAATTCTAGAATCTCTTTGAGATAAAGAATTCTAGAATATCTTGGAGACATAAAATTCTAGAATCTCTTGGTGATATAGAATTATTGAATTTGACGTGGGAAACCCTTTATATTAACAATAACAGATAAGACACTAGATGTCGTCTTTTCAAAATTCAGGGGTTTTTCGTTCACAATAACCCTGAGGCAAAAGCCTAAAGGAGTTCTGCGCAGGAAGCGTTGAATTACAAGACAGACAGAGAGCATACGCTGCCTGCGCGAAACTCCATTAAGCTTCTGCCTCAGGGTTATATTGAACGGAAAACCCCTAAATCTTGAAAAGACGACATATAGTGTCCTATCTGTTATTGTCAATTAATCTATGGTCTAGAAGATCTAGAATTCTTTAAACAAAAGCCCAAATTCAAACTTAAGATCATCATATTTTGAAAGTTTCAAGTTGTCTTTAAAGTCTTTGTGGGTAAACCTGTATTAACACACTTGTAAGTTGGGAGCTAAGACAGAATTATTTTACAATAAGGAATCTCATTTATTTGTATTGAGATAGAACTATAGAATTACAATTCTGCCAACTTGGCAATTTCTTAGATGAAAAATTCAGCAATTCTTTTTTTTAGATCAGGTATATTTTATAGAGAACAAGGTTCGAGTCAATTATTTAAAATTTATTCCTCTTCCCTGATTTAAAAAGACTGTAAGCGTAATCTCAAGTGGCCGTTAATGCAAAGATGTCCATGACCGAGTCACAAGAATACTTTTTAAAGAGCGTGTTTTTTTTTACTTAAGTGATAGTGCAGTGAAAGCGCATTACTACTCTAGAAACAAATACAAGAATTATCAGATATAAACGCTTTTAAACCTAGAAAAACGGAAATATCTCCCACATTATTTATCAGATTAAGGTTTCAAGGGTACCGTTGTGAATTGGGATCCATGGAGTGAATAGGGGATACAATTAGTGAATAGGGGATACAGGTAGTGAATAGGGAATACAGGTAGTGAATAGGGGATACAGGTAGTGAATAGGGGATACAGTTAGTGAATAGGGGATACAGGTAGTGAATAGGGGATTCATGGAGTGAAAATGGGATACAGTTAGTAAATAGGGGATACATGGGTAGTGAAAGAGGGATAAAGTTAGTAAATTGAAGATAAAGGGAGTATGGGTTTACAGGGAGTAAAAAGAGAATAAAGGGATTAAAAGAGGAATATAGAGATGTAATAGCTATAGGATAAATCAGTGGGTAGCGGAGTGATACATTTGATGATTAAATATAAGTCAAAAGAAAGATGGAATTATGAAATAAAGCTAAATATTTATTTCTAAATAGGATAAATTACATGTTTAGGAAACCGTCGGACTGCCTCTGTAAGATCTGTAGGTTACTCAGACCTGTTTGTTCTGAGTAAACAGGATATGTGGGACGTATTGAAGGATTATCCTGCAGCCAGGGTTCGGCTTGAAGCCATAGCTGCTAAGAAGCTGGAGAAATATAAAAAGGTTCCGCTTGAGAAAGGTAAGGTTCCTCTTGAGAAAGGTAAGGTTCCGCTTGTGAAAGGTAGGGTTCCTCTTGAGAAAAGTAAGTTTCCCTTTGAGAAAGGTATGGTTCCTATTGAGAAAGTTAGGGTTCCTCTTGAGAAAAGTAGGGTTCCTCTTGAGAAAGGTAAGGTTCCTCTTGAGAAAGGTAAGTTTCCTCTTGAGAAAGGTATGGTTCCTCTTGAGAAAGGTAAGGTTCCCTTGAGAAAGATAAGGTTCCTCTTGAGAAAGGTAAGGTTCTTCTTGAGAAATGTAAGGTTCCTCTTGTGAAAGGTAAGGTTCCTCTTTAGAAAGGTATGGTTCCTCTTGAGAAAGGTAAGGTTCTTCTTAAGAAATGTAAGGTTCCTCTTGAGAAAGGTTAGGTTCCCTTGAGAAAGATAAGGTTCCGCTTGAGAAAGATAAGGTTCCTCTTGAGAAAGGTAAGGTTCTTCTTGAGAAATGTAAGGTTCCTCTTGTGAAAGGTAAGGTTCCTCTTGAGAAAGGTAGGGTCCCTCTTGAGAAAGGTAAGGTTCCTCTTGAGGAAGGTCGGTTTCCTCTTAAGAAAGGTAAAGATCCTCTTGAGAAATGTAAGGTTCCTTTCGAGAAAGGTAAGTTTCTTCTTGAGAAAGGTAGGGTTCCTCTTGAGAAAGGTGTGCAGTGCTCCTTCGCCAATTATAAACAAATTGCTTTTATGTCTTAACTAGACACTGGGGGAAACTTTTTTTTCTTTTCTACAAAACTTGATTTTATAAAAAGAAAATTTGGAGACTTAGATTCGGAGAAGTTTTTCTAAATATGTTTTTCTTATCTTTATAATAAAACAGGACATTCGTATATATATATATGTTGTGTATAGCCGGCCAAACGCAGAATGGGCTGAAATTTTTTGCGGACACTCATGGGTGGCCGGGGGGTGTCATAGGCTAAAAAAATCTAAATTTTCTGTTCAACATTTATTTCCACGGGCAACGCCGGGCCCTTCAGCTATTTCTTAACAAGTTGGGTTAGTGTTTTATACATAACCGGGGAAGGGGGTTCGGTCTACATATTTAGCAATATTTTTTTTTCAAATAGTTAATTTTTTTTTACACGAAAATACAAAAGGAAATTAAACTTGAATGATGGTTCAATTATTTATTTCTTTGGCCCACCCCTTATCTTATAATCCACATGTAATTTGCAACCTTTGATATTTTAAGCTTTGAATTTTGGATCAAGTAGAATTAAAGTTTAATATGTTTCCGCTTCAGCTTACTAAGACATAAGAGTTAAAAATCAGTTCTATTTTGATCACCTTCTTTCCGTTAGTATAATTTTTATATATATACATACATTATACTTATAAAGTTTAATCTAGATTGTGTTAAACCAGCACAGTGTCCGGAATTTTAAAAAAACTTTGAAAAAAATATGTTTGAAAAAAAAACAATTCAGCCGATTTATATATTTTCTATTTATAGATTAGTTTAAGAATTGAATTTTAAAATAATAAAATAATTATAAATATATTTTAGCATCATTGCCCCGAAGTTTATCAACACCTGGACTTCTGGAGAGTGGGGGCAGGGTACCCCTGGAAGATATGTGGGTATCCCCCCTCCCCCTCCCCCCTTTACCAGGGGGCAGGATATCACCGGCTCCTTTTAAAGGAGGATATGTATCCCCTATACCTCCTGGACCCTCCTCCCCCTTCCAGGCTTCAAGATCCAGCTCTCCTGAATCAATGTAAGCTTTAATAATATTTAGATCCAGATCTACTGAATCAATGTAAGCTTTAGTATTATCTAGATCCAGCTCTCCTGAATCAATGTAAGCTTTAGTATTATCTAGATCCAGCTCTACTGAATCAATGTAAGCTATGGTATTATCTAGATCCAGCTCTACTGAATCAATGTAAGCTTTAGTATTATCTAGATCCAGCTCTCCTGACTCAATGTAAGCTTTAATTTTATCTATATCCAGCTCTCCTGAATCAATGTAAGCGTTTGTACTTTATGGATCCTGCTCTCCTGAATCAAAGTAAGCTTTAGTATTATATATATGATATCCATCTCTACTGAATAAATGTAAGCTTTAGTACTATTTAGATCCAGCTCTACTGAATCAATGTAAGCTTTAGTATTATCTATATCTATTATCCAGCTTTACTGAATCAATGCAATTGCTTTAGTATTATATATATCCAGTTCTTCTGAATCAATGTAAGCTTTAGTTTTATCTAGATCCAGCTAAACTGAATCAATGTAAGCTTTAGTATTATCTAGATCCAGATCTACTGAATCAATGTAAGCTTTAGTATTATCTAGATCCAGCTCTACTGAATCAATGTATTATCTAGATCCAGATCTACTGAATCAATGTAAGCTTTAGTATTATCTAGATCCAGCTCTACTGAATCAATGTAAGCTTTAGTATTATCTATATCGAGTTCTACTGAATCAATGTAAGTCTCAGTTTTATCTCGATCAATGTGAGTAGAATTAAGGTGAGGGGATAGAGCTTTAACCAAAGATTTGAATTTTAATGACGATAGAAAAAAAAGTCTTTTCATTTGACAGTCTGAAGATTGAATAAACCATCAGTGTAAGGTCAAGTTTTTATAACTATTTACGACTAATTTACAAGGAAGTTGAGGGAGATTTTCTTTACCAAGGGTTCCCAAGACCAATTTTGCCTAACAAACATCCAGAGCGCAGCTAAGGGTAATTGGTCGAGGGAACCCGTGGTTAAATGAAATTTTTTATTTCCCGAAAAAGTAGTTGTACACAATTTTATCATCTTTTGAGATGAAAATGCGCGATTTTTTTCACGAAAACATGGGACCGTTTCAAAAAGAATTAGAAATAACATAAGTTTAATGGTACAATTGTAATTGTAAATAATAGTCGTACAAGATTTTACACATTTGAAAGAACATATGAAAGAAAAGGGGTTAAACCGTTCCATATTCCCTCAAATGAAGAATCATAAAACCGTTTCATTTAATTTTTCTCTCAAGTTTCCTTCCAGAGATGTTTTAGATGTTTTAGATGAGCTGAAATTAGTTTCAAACTAATAGATTTTATTCTTAGAATAAATATATTAATTCATATAAAACTCTTCTTCATATACAGTCCTAGAACCATGGCACATTTCTTCATATGTATTCCTAGAACCCTGGAACACTTCTTTATATCTAGTCCTGGAACCATGGAACACTTCTTTATATCTAGTCCTGGAACCATAAAACACTTCTTCATATATATTCCTAGAACCCTGGAACACTTCTTTTTATCTAGTCCTGGAACCATGGAACACTTCTTTATATCTAGTCCTGGAACCATGGAACACTTCTTCATATAAAGTCCTGAAACCATGTAGCTTTTATTCATATCTAGTTCTGGAACCATGGAACACTTATTCAAATTCAGACCTGGAATCATGGAACACTTATTCATATCTAGTCCTGGAACCATGGAGCACTTCTTCATATCGAGTCCTGGAATCATGGAACACCTATATATATCGAGTCCTGGAACCATGGAACACTTATTTATTTCAAGTTCTAGAACCATGGGACACTAGATTATTTCACAACAAAGCAATGCGTCTAATAAACCTAATTTTATCATAACATTTGAATGCTTTTCTATTTTTGGAAGTTAATTCCAGGTGTTCCATAGTTCCAGGACCAGATATGAATAAGTGTTCCATGGTTCCAGCACTACAGGGTGTCTCAAATAAAACGGGGAATAAGGGTCTACAGACATGTTTATAATCAGATTTTCAAGATTGAGACCATTTTTAAAATCCACGTATAATTTCTAATTCAATAAATGACAATTTTAAAAGCTCCTAAAGTTTCCAACTGGAGTGAGTAATTTTGGTAAAAATAAAAATAATCTCCGTTTGCACATAAGGTTCTATGTAGACTTGTTTATAATCAGATTTTCAAGATTGAGACAATTTTTGATATCTACGTACAATTTCCGAGTCAATGAGCCCAACTTTTGGCTTATAGATCTAAAAATAACAATTGTACTGCAATAAACTGCAACCTAACATTGAATATAAAATTTTGCAAACGGAGATTATCTTTTACTTTTTACCTCGCTCCATTTCATAACTTTAGAAGTCTATAAAATTTTAGATCTACAAGCCTAAACTTGGAAAATGTACGTAGATATAAAAAATCTTGAAAATCTGATTACAAACAAGTCTGCATAGAACCTTATGTGCAAACAGAGATTATCTTATTTTTACCCAATTACTACACTCCAGTTGGAAACTTCAGGAGCCTTTAAAATTGTTATTTTTAGATCTATAAGCCTAAAATTAGACTTTTTAAGCCGAAAATTGTACGTAGATTTAAGAAATGGTCTCAATTTTGAAAATCCGATTACAAACGAGTCTGTAGACTCTATTCCTCGTTTTTTTGAGACACCCTGTAGTACTGGAACCATGGAACATTTATTCATATCTACTACTGGAACCATGGAACACTTCTTCATATCTATTCATGGAACCATGGAAAAATTCTTCACATTTTGCCTTGGAACCATGGAACACTTCTTCATATCTAGTCCTGGAACCATGGAACATTTCTTCAAAAATTGTCCTGGAACCATGGAACATTTCTTCATATCTAGTCCTGGAACCATGGAACATTTCTTCATATCTAGTCCTGGAACTATGGAACACATGGAATTTAACTTCCAAAAATAGAAAAGCATACAAATGTTATGATAAAATTAGGTTTATTAGATGCATTGCTTCGTTGTGAAATGTGTATTAGGTTTATATGTGCAGGGTGTCCCAAAATACATTGGAATTGAATGACGAATTTGATTAATTCTTTGTTAAAGCATGACGAGAAATCAAAATCAGCTAGAGTTTATTTTAAAAAAACGGTAAAAGACTATATAATGAAATCGGAAAAGTTTATCAATACTAGGCTTTTAGGGCGCTTCGCACCCATCTTCTTTTTCAACTTTTGGTTGTGGCTTTATCTGTGAGCATCTTTTCTGTGTACAGAATAATTTTTTTTTAATTTGCGGATTTCATAATATTTTTTCGCGCATTTTCAAAATTTTACAAAATTGAATAATTTAAAGTAAAAATATTTTAAGATTATGTATTTAAAGTCTGATTCGCCATAAACCTTCGCTTGGGCCACGTGAGGTCCCACACAAAATTTGGACTTGATCGGTTCAGTCGTTTTAACCTTTATTGGAAACAAACAAACAGATACCCAGACAAGCTAAATTTATATATAGATATCTACACTAAATACAAAGCCATTAAAAAGAAGATCTCGAAATTGTCACTTAATTCCCCTGTAAACTGGAACACCATGTAAACTGGAACACCATGTAAACTGGAACACCATGTGAACTGGAACACCATGTGAACTGGAACACCATGTGAACTGGAACACCATGTAAACTGGAACACCATGTATGTATGAATGACTCTATTAGATGCAATTTCTGTCTCTAGTATTGAAGATATATTGCTTAAAATGGTATTTTCGAGAAGAAATTCCGAGAACATAGTTTTGTAAAAAGAATTTAATGGACAAATTGTTTGCTGAGCCCTGGGAGGTACTTAAACAGTTTGAAATCTAATGTTCTATATAACCTGGAGCAGAACCATAACTATATAAATATTTAAGTTAAAATATAAGATGTTGAACCTTGGAAAATGGAATTTTCTTTTAAATTTGGTAAAGAGAGGGAAATTTCTTGAATTTAATTAGGTTTAAAGTTTTCTACTTTAATCAAACATCTATGCTCTCAAGTTTAGATTGAAGAAAAGCATTGGATTTTTACAAATGTTTTCAGGGGTCCTATGATAAGACGAGGGGTTGACTCTCCTCTCTCCCAGTTCTCCGGTAGGACCAAGATGTACAAGGAACCAAACCAGAGGGGTGAGAAGAGTTCCAGGAGTCCTAAACTTAGAAATAGACAATTAGGTTAGTATAATATTAGGTTAGTATAATATTAGGTTAGTATAATATTAGGTTAGTATAATATTAGGTTAGTATAATATTTGTTTATTTTCTCATTCACCATCTTTCTTCTTCTTTACTCATTCTCTTTCCTTCTTCTTCCTCTTTCCTTCTTCCTTCTCTGTCCTTCTTTCTTTTTTTACTTTTTCCTTGTCTTTCTTTTTTCCTTCTCTTTCCTTCTTCCTTCTTCTTCCTTCTTCCTTCTCTTTCCTTCTTTCTTCTCTTTTCTTCTTTCTTCTCTTTCCTTCTTTCTTCTCTTTTCTTCTTTCTTCTCTTTCCTTCTTTCTTCTCTTTCCTTCTTTCTTTCTTCTCTTTTCTTCTCTCCTTCTTTCTCATTTATTCTTCTTTCTCTTTCCTTCTTTCCTTTTTCCTTCTCTTTCCTTTTTCCTTCTCTTTCCTTCCTCCTTCTCGTTCCTTCTTCCTTTTCTTTCCTTCTTTCTTCTCTTTCCTTCGTTCTTCTCTTTCCTTCTTTCTTCTCTTTCCTTCTTTCTTTCTTCTCTTCTCTCCTTCTTTCTCTTTTATGCTTCCTTCTCTTTCCTTCTTCCTTTTCTTTCCTTCGTCTTTCTCTTTCCTTTTCCCTTCTCTTTCCTTCTTCCTTCTCTTTCTTTCTTTCTTCTCTTTCCTTCTTCCTTCTCTTTCTTAGTCTTTCTCTTTCCTTCTTTCTTCTTTTTCCTTCTTCCTTCACTTTCCTTCTTTCTTCTCTTTCCTTCTTACTTCTCTTTCCTTCTTTCTTCTCTTTCCTTTTTTCTTTCTTCTCTTCTCTCCTTCTTTCTCTTTTATGCTTCCTTCTCTTTCCTTCTTCCTTTCATATACTTCTTTCTTCTCTTTCCTCCTTTCTCGATCCTAAATTTAAATCAAATTCTGCCTTCAATGTGTTCTTTAAACGGCTTAAATAATGATTTGACAAAGAAAGAAAGAATTTTATAGATGCCTAGGAAATTGTAATTAAAAGGAAACAGACCGTATAAAATATTTACCGTTGTCTCAGAGGTCTCATCCTTTGTGTGTAACCCTGTAGTTAAAAAGTCTAAAAGTCGTCTTTCTTTTTCACACTTTTCTTGTTCTCACTGAACATATTTAAATTTGTAAAAAGCCTATTCCCCTCTTCGTACTTCTCAGTTTCCTTGTGCTAAGGGATAGTTAGTTAATGCCCTTCAATTACTGATTTAATATATTTTTTTAATTTATTGGAAAAACTGGAAAACTATTGTTGAAAGAAACTAAATACTCGAAAAGGGGCGCCGAGAGAATAGAATTTCTAGCATACCACCATAAATGTGTTTTTATAAGGCCTGGAGAGCTTGATATTCTAAGCTCTTGGTGTTGTAAAACTAATATGTTAATGACCGGAAACTTTAAAGTTTAGTGATATTGCTGAGTCGAAGTTTTCCCTAATATTCAATGTTCATTTTATTTTGAAAATGTGAATAATATATTCAAGATTATTCAGAAAAACTCTTTGTGGACATTTATTTGGAAAGTTTGGAAATATATATAGAAATAATCCTTTCCATTTTGGATATAGATATATCTATACAAAATGTAAATGAAATGGGTTAAACAGGGTTACCCACAAAGGCTGAGACTGCCGGAAAAAATATGTCGATCCCAAGTAAGTTTAAATTACACGGGCAGCCGTTGTACATATGAATTTCCGAGCCAGGTCAACTTTTCCGGACCCAGTTTGTACTGTATAAAGAAATAGATAAAATAAATTCACTACAGTCGTCTCTGAAGTTAGATCCTTTGCTGGTAACTCATTTCAAAGATACTTAAAAATTGCTTTTAATATCTCTTTTTTATTTTTCAGTTTTTATCTTTCTTTTAAAAACTGCATTTCAGTTTCTTCAATCTTTATTCCAAAAAAATCCAATTGACCCTCAATCCCAAGAGGCCAATGCCCTGATTTACAACGGTACCCCTGAACAGGCCCGTTGCCAGGATTTGACCAGGGGGGGGGGAATATGACGCGCCGCAGGTGAAATTTTTTTTTTTTGGGGGGGGGGGGTTTAATGATTTTTTAAACATGCAATGTTTGGTTTGGTTTCACAGTGGTATATGGTTGTTTTTATTACATTGTCAATGCACACTATAAAGGCTAACCTTTTTATATTTGAACTTTTAAGGGAGTACTGCTTAACTAACAGAGTCAAGTAATCATTTATTATTTGACTTTGCAATATAAAATTGATATGATCTTATTTCTTATTCATTTAAAAAAAAGCTTTTCAAGGGTCAAGGGGGTGATATGGAAACGCCTCACCACGGAAATGCCTCAAAAAAAAAGACTCATAAAACATAGCACACCGGTCAAGGGGGGGGGGGGGTTTAAAAGTCTGAAAGTGTACAGGAGATTACCATTTCATTTCCATGGGACTCTATCAAGGTTGTAATGCAAAGAAAGTTAATTGCTGTCGCGAATACTCTGCGTAAATATTGAAGCCAGTTCTCTCTGGGCGGAATTTGTAAACAAGAATATATGCATCAGTGTTTGTTTAGTATCCGAGGAGGTTAAACACATTTAATTTTGATAATTTTGATAATTCACATAATAGTTTTCTATGACCAGAATATTTCATTGATTTTTTATGTGAAAGATGGATCCCATGTCAGGCTTCGACATCCGTCTTGCATACACTTCTGAAATAACTTTCCTTGCATTACATCCTTAATGCATATAATTAATAAATCATACTGTTTTAATTATACTTAAACAACTATTAAATAACTATGAGTAAATTTTGATGTTGTGTTACATTTAATCAACAGAGTGTACTGATCAACTGTTAGTTAGCCTGCGACACTTTTATAGAGTAACGCACTAATAGATTATAATTTGGTTTGGAAATCAATTCTTACTCGGGCTATATAATTTATAACTAGATTTTAGAAACTTATGAAAACAATTTCTTTTATATGGGACTAGGGGGGGGGGGGTTGCAAATTCGTCATTGCACCCCTCTTTCAGAAGAAAGGGGGGTGCACCTGCACCCTTGCACCCCCCTGGCTACGGGCCTGCCCTTGAATCCTTTGTCTTTTCATTGAGTAGAAAAAAAATCTCTCTTTGAATATATCGGAACACCCTTGAAATCCTCTATAACACCTACAGTAGAATCCCAGGTCTCAAAACACCCTTTTGATACTACTACCTACTGTCCCTTAAAGTTGCAATCCCATAAGCAAAGTTGTTGGGAATTAAATATTCTAATGAAAATTTAATCCAAGAAAATCTAGTAAATTTAAACTTTGTTAACATTTGTTGTCTCGTGCCATGAAGGAATTTATAAATATGCATACAATATATATATATAGCTATATATAAATTTGGCTTGTCTGTCTGTCTGTTTGTGTGTTTGTTTGTTTGTTTGTTTGTATCCAATAAACGTCAAAACGGCTGAACCGATCGGGCCCAAATTTTTGTGGGACATCTAGGGACCCCAGGGAAGGTTTATGAATCATCAAAATTTCAAATATTTGTCTCCATAAAAATTTGATCGTAATTAAGTTTTAAAAAGTTTTGAAAATCCGCGAAATTTTTTGTGAAAATCCGCTAATTATTTTTGTTTTGTTTTACGATGTACACAAAGAGAACATGTTCACAATTAATTTAGGAGATGGGCGCGAAGCGCCCTCTAAGGCTAGAAAGAAGGGCGCGAAGCGCCTTGAATTTCTAGTATATATATTTATATATATATATATATATTGCAAACGAGTCTGTAGAATTAATTGCATTTTTAGTTCAGAAAGATAATAATGTTTATCAAGAGAAAGAACCTGAATTATTTCTGACATCAGGTTTTTCTCACAAAAAATTGTCTCAAGAAGATCGTTAATGATCGTTACCGAAGGGTTGTCTTTAGGGGTCGTTAACGAAACAACGAACTAAAACTAAAAACTATTTCTTCGTCTTTTTAATTTAAAAAATCGATCTTTATAAAAACGATCATTTTTTAAAACGACCGTTTCGTTTTTGTTTTTTCTTCGTCAATTTAAAACGAAACGATCATTTTGCCAAAAAGTGAAAACGATCCATTTCTCTATGAAAATAGATAGATAAATATTGGGTTTGGGCGGGGTTGAGGGGGGGGGAAGCTAGGAGGAGGGGTAGAGTTTTGGTTTATAAAACCACTCGCCTAATCCTTGCTCTTAAATCTAAGCCCATGAATATGCATTCTTAGCTGTAGAGTTGGGTGAAGTCCTTGTTTTATTTTCACAATAAATTATGTAATATTTTTATTATTACCGTGTTTTTGGAATATTTCTCTGTTAACTCTCAACCCTTGAACAACAATGGCGGCTTATGTATAAAATAGAACAAAACTTGAATCTTTGTACAATGTACATGCATTCACATTGGTATACGATACTGTCGGCGTTATGTCACGTGATTTGTCACGTGATTTTAAGATTTACAACGCTAAAAACATTTATTCAAGTAACAATAGAAAAAAATTGCTTGTTATCCACCTGGAGAAGCGATCAATACTGTCAATTATCTTTGTTGCCTCAGCTCACAGAATTCGCAGGTCGATTTTATACAAAAACCGCAATTAAATATCTTCTTTAAAATTATCCGTGATCCAGTTTCATTTATAATATACCAATCTGTCCTTCTTCCATCAATCTTTGTCATAACAGCAAACTTTTAGAGAATAATTTTAATATAAGTTTAATGCAAAAAATGTTGAATGTCAGGAAACGTATTATAGCGATGGCTACCTCCAGCGGAGACTAAAATACTCTAAGATCACAATTAAAAGAAATTAATTAGTGTTTTCGAAAGAGCCCTGCAGTCACGGAGTACTAAAACCTGGAGCGGGAATCATTAAGTAACAGTAAAAAGAGTGGGAATCACAGAGTAGTATGAAGTGAAGCGGGAATCACAGAGTAGTATAAAGTGAAGCGGGAATCACGGAATAGGAGTAAATGGAGCAGAAATCACGAAATCGCATATTTGATGATTTGGCTATTGTAAAAAGCAAGTTTATTGGTATAGGGAACCACGAATGAAAGAAAAAAGTGTAGTGCATTTTTAGATCTAAACAGTTGTATTTTTTTCGGAAGTAAACAGAATATTTAAAAATATTAAATCATGTATAGAAATAAAGTAAGGTTAATATAAAAATGTTGCATGCAGAAAATGCGAGGTTCTTTAATTGTTTTCATTGTTTTTGGAGTCTTGGAGATAATGATTTTAATATACTAAGGGACATATCTGTACGTACATGTATTTCTGACAGTCTTCCATTTGATAAAAAGACGACCTTAAAGATATTCTTTTACAAATGGCGGACAGTTAACAAAACAGGAAATAAATCATAAGATGTATAAAGATCTTGTCAGCCTACATTTGTAGCATAAAAATTGCTAGGTCAATATTACACTGGGTAGTCTAAAATGGTCGGTACGTGTGAGATCCTTTACAGGACATTACACTAGAATTGTACCGGTTCGGATCATCCACCATTGGAGCCGTGTGGGGCTTTACGGGTCATTCCCGCTCCATGTCTTCCTACCCCGTGGTTGCAACCCTTTAATTAATTTCTCGAGTTACCCTGGCTAATAAAACCAGAAACTTCCAAATAAAGAGATTTCAGATGGTTATTTTTAGAATTCGGGGAATATACGTTTACAAGACTACATCTCAGGGGCTTTGGGGGCTAAGTCCCGTAGACAAATTTCTGTATACGTCTACCCATATTGTAAAACATATTATGATTAAGGAATTCAGTTTTTGTCACAAACTCTGATTTTCTAATCTCTCTCTATATATATATAGAGCTAAGAAATTTCAAACTATAAATTCTGTTAGATCAAATAATCTAAGTTTGAAATATTAAAGGTTTAGAACATCAGTTTGCAAAAATTTAGGGAAAAGAACATTTGAGTTTGTGGCAAAGACTCAATTCCTTTGTTTTAGAATATCTTTGTTTCAGCGCACAAGGAATCTGATATATCACAGACCTCTGATATCTCTGGACTAGGAGGAGGAGGAGTAGTAGAGGGAGCTAGTAGATCTATCCAACCCTCATCCTGGACAAATCCAGTAGCTAGTCATACACTTCAGGTAGTCTAGTAGTCTAACACTTTAGGTAGTGTAGTAGTCATACACTTCAGGTAGTCTAGTAGTCATACACTTCAGGTAGTCTAGTAGTCATACACTTCAGGTAGTCTAGTAGTCATCCTGGACTTATCCAGTAGTAAGTCAAACACTTCAGGTATACTAGTAGTCTGCACGCCTGGGTATCTTTTTGAAACCCAGTATCGGAAACTGGGTTTCACAAATGGAGTACGGTCATTTTGTAGATTTAAATTTATTTTATAGAAATATTATTTTAAATGGTTAACTTTATTTTCTCTTGTTTTTCTTTCTTGATGTAAATCTACACAAACTTACAGACCCCAAAAAGGAAACGTGGGAGTTTCGTTTGACGATAATCTTTTTAATTTCCGGCTCAGGTAAACTGTACAATTTACACTGGACAGTACTGGACTATAGCTACTAGCAAGGTTATAATGCAAGGAAAGTTAATTGCAGTTGCGTATACTCTGCGTGCATATTGAAACCAGTTCTCTCTGGACGGAATTTGTAAACAAGAATTAATGCATCAGTGTTCGTTTAGTATGCGAGGAGGATAAAAGCATTTAATTTTGATAATTTTGATAATTCACATAAAAGTTTCCTATGATCAGAATATTTCATTGATTTTTTATGTGAAAGACGGATGTCATGTCAGGCTGTGACATCGGTCTTGTGTTTCGTCCAGAGACAGTACACCTCTGAAATAACTTTCCTTCCATTATAACCTTGGATACTATACGCCTCTAGTTGTTACACATAGTTGAAAGCTTGTATACTTAACTACATGTACTTTATATATTTTATATCTTTATCAAAATCCTAAATCTTTATTTAGGTGATAGCAGCCACTCCTTCCCCATCCTCTTCATGCGAGACTACAATCCATCATTACCTTCCTCTTTCATGTAAGTTTATTTATGTACCCCTCATGTAAGTTTATTTAGGTACCCCTCCTCTTAAAACCACTGTGTAGTGTGCTTTCTCAGGCCTGCATCTTGCCCATAGAGAATAGAATATATAGAGAGGAATTAAAAGAATCTCTCGGTATGAATTTGTTCAGTCCCTTTCAGCCTGAAAGGGAGTTCAAAGTGTACAAATCATGTAAATGTTCACAAATTATATGCAGTAGAGTACATTAATACAGTACGTTCCCTAGACTATCCATTTCAATTTCGAATTTTTTAAACTGTTAAATAAACTTTATAATGAATTTGGTGAATAAAAACATCATTTGATTTATAGTTATAAATCATCGTTTGTAAATTGGGAGGCATAGAGTCTATGTGAAATGATCATTGGTCAATTATGAAACCAGCCTATTTCATAATTTGGTTTTCTTTTAACAATAATTTTAGATTTTCTATAAAATGATATTCCAGGGCCCAACAGGTTATATAGCATAAATATGTGAAGTACACCTGCAGTATGGAAACAGTACAACAAAATGGCCGTTTTACACTTTTTCCATTAAATTCCTCTCTATATATTCTAATCTCTATGATCTTGCCAACTTAACTTGCGTATTAAAGACGTACTTTGTATGTCTCCTTACTCTATACTCAATGATGTTTGTCCGTTAGAAGTCACCCAAAGTATAGGTGTCAGCCAGGGAGTAGGAATAAAGGGAAAGGAAATGGCGCTGGTCTGCCATGAGAAAGCCAGTGGCACTGCTTTGCAGAAAAGTTCGGTAAACCTTACACACACTCTTTTGGTAAAGACACACAACATGACTACAGTCAAGGAAGTTGCAGAACAATGTCGTTAATTATAATTAAGCTTGAATAACGAGTAGTTTATTCTAAACTTTAATCAAATTATATTCTTTGCATTAAAATTTGGCTTCATAGTGTTGACTTAAATATGTAAATAATATATTACATGTATACTAAACTTTTTTAAAGTAAACAATTAACAATAAACAAATGTACACTCCTAGACTGTGCAAATACAGAAATTCTTATCACAGTATATACCTACAGTTCACACCTTCGTTTCAGTAAAGAACAAAAATAGCTCAAGCATGAAACTCTTCAGATTTCACAAAACTAAAATTCTAAAAAAAACTCCCTGCTATCTTGAGGATGAGTACAAACAGCTTCTCATAAACCTGGCCATATTTTGTATTCAATTTAATCTTGTCTCCATGTTACTTTTTAGTTTTTGCTGTACGATGGTTCATAAGAATCATAAATGTAATAATAGAAAAGGAATAAGTCACTTAAAATACAAAACTAAATAATATAAACCTTTCATTTCACAAGACAGGATAAAAATAAAAATTCCCAAATAATCTATTTCAGAGAACACTAAATTTTTCTTTAATTTGAAGAAAAATAATCTTCACACAAAATGTTGGTAACAAATATTAGATTTTAGGCCAATTTTCTCAACTTTTTTCCTTTTTCTTTCTTTTTCGTTCCTCCTTTTCATTTTTTTCATTTTTTTCTTTTTTGTCCCAAAAAGTGTGCCTCTCCTTGGGAGTGAAAGGGGGGGACACGTGCCCTTGTGCCCCCCTAGCTACGGGCCTGACGTCATATGTTTGCAAAAAGTACAGTGAGCCGAGGAATGTATAAAACTATATCTGAGGAGGAGTAACAGTGAGCCGAGGAATGTATAAAACTATATCTGAGGAGGAGTAACAGTGAGCCGAGGAATGTATAAAATTATATCTGAGGAGGAGTAACAGTGAGTCGAGGAAGGTATAAAACTATATCTGAGGAGGAGTAACAGTGAGCCGAGGAAGGTATAAAACTTATCTGAGGAGGAGTAACAACAGTGAGTCGAGGAATGTGTAAACTAAATTTGAGGAGGAGTAACGGGTTCGCATATTCCCTAAAGGAAGGAAACTTCAAGGGAATTTTATGATGGTTATAATTCTTGAAAATCTGAAATCTTGTTGAAGAATGTAGATTCTTGTCCAAACTTCAAGAATGAGGGAGGGATACCGAGGCCGCCAAGAGCCTCCCAGGTTTAAGATTTACAGTTCTGACCCTCCGCTTTAAAGTTCATTGAATTAAAGAGAATTTCACTTGATCTGTTAACATCTCTAATTTGAGGAATACTTGTATTGCTTAAATCAACGTTTTCTTTATATATCTTTCTTTCTGCGTAAGAAATATCTTTAGTTTTAGCATTAGACTTGTCCTGTAAAGAGGTGGCTCGGTTCTTCATGGCAAATCTGGGAGGCTCATGGTGGTGGGGGTGCCCCTCCCTCTTAGGATTAGAGATCTGAATCAGTGGCGCAACTAGGGGGGGGG